AATTAAAAAAAAAAAAAACATGTATGCATATCACACAAGTTAGAGAAGTGAAACCTTCAAATAAACAGGTTTCGAATGCACACCCATTCTAAAGAAGTTTTCACTTCGAAAAAAAAAAATAATATTATATTATAAAAAAAGATTATAAGTTAGATTCAAAAGTTTGGTAAAAGTTATTGTTTTTAATAGAAAGAGATAGATAGAGAATCATTTAATTATTACAACGTGATAGTACCACACGTGCATTTAGCAAATGCATACATTTGTTACATCGTGTTACATTTTGAGGAATGTAACCAACGAAATTCTCTATCGTTTTGCTATGAAGGTACCTCGTAACTCAACGAGAATAACCAATCTGCGTTTGCTCTCAACTTAATTGCTACTGTGCACTTTACAAAAATTCATTTTGATAATTGTTTCCAAATAGAAATATATATATTTTATGGTGTACAATGTTTGAAGAAATATTATTAATTATATATATATATATATATATGTACAAAATTACATCGGGAAAAAAAATAATAAATTTGATTGATAGAATCGAGAAAAAAAGTTAGGGGTTAATTTTATTTCTTTTAGTTTGTTTGTTTTTTTTCTTCTTGTAAAACAAATACTAATAGACATAATTTTTTTGATTATTTTATAAAATAATAAAATTGTCAATATTTTGTAAACAATCTAATATATATAATTATGAAAAAAAAACGAGAAATAATAACATTTAAAAATAAGAATTAAAATATTCAATTTTTTTAAGTAGAACAAGTCAATGTATTCTCGGACAATCCTATTTAAAATACACATATACGTAAACGTATGTATATATAAATATTTATTGTGAATAAATACTGAATGTTTAAACAATATAAACGTGTACACACATATTTTTATATATTATATATTATATAAAAATATGTACACGTTTATATATACATGTATATGTGTAGTGTATGCATTATATACATTAGAATGAATTCAATAGGCGGATAGAATATTTTTTTAGAATTTTCTTTTAACTTTTCTCTGCATATATAAATGAATATATATATATATATATATATTTTTTTTTTATATCAGTCAAGCGTGACGAAAAAAAAATAAAAATAGAATAAAAATCTAAAAAGAGCCATCACGTATCATNAAAAAGAGCCATCACGTATCATTCTCCTTTCGTGTGATATTAAAAAAGAGACTAATCCAGACGTATGTATATATAGATATATATGTGTGTGTATATATATATATTTTTTTTTTATATCAGTCAAGCGTGACGAAAAAAAAATAAAAATAGAATAAAAATCTAAAAAGAGCCATCACGTATCATTCTCCTTTCGTGTGATATTAAAAAAGAGACTAATCCAGACGTATGTATATATAGATATATATGTGTGTGTATAAATAAATACATACGTCTATACGTTCGTACACATACATGCAAATCCATTTGTTTCGACAAAAAAAAAAAAATAAAAAGAAAAATACTACGTTCACTTTGCATCGAGTACTATTTCAACTCTTTCTCTATTTCGGTATTTCGAATTGCAATTTTTACCTTTTCGTGTTACCATTCCACTCTTTCTCTCTCTTTTTTTATCTTTTCTTTTTTTTTTTTATAAATATATATGTATATATGTATATGTTATCATTAAATGTGATATCCAATAATTCATGAAATAACCAGTTAAATTACGAATTCAACTATACTGACCTATTTTAATCTATGAAATAAGATCAAATCATATATTTTAATGAACTATAATAATAATATAAAAAATTTATGAATGTCCAGTAATTAAACTATAAAAATTAAAATTTGATTAGTAGATTATATCTAACAAAATGGAAAAATATAATTTTCAACAATATTTTAAACATATTCCATTTATTTCTATAATCAACAAATATTTTAATAATAGTATGTATGTAATATATATATATGGAATTATATAAAGTTTATTCTATTTTATTTAAAATTAAAATTTGATTAGTACATTAAATCCAACAGAATGAAAAAATATATTATTCAACAATATTTTAAACATATTCCATTTATTTCTCTAATCAACAAATATTTTAATAATAGTATGTATGTAATATATATACGTATATATCTATGGAATTACATAAAGTTAATTATAAATTTTTAATTAGAAAATTTGCAAATAATATTTCAAATATTCTCATTTATATGCACATACATAAATCATATTATATTTAACGAGATAATTAATAAAACGTCTAGTTAGGTTATTTCATGTAAAATCAAAGCTTTTTCCTGATGAATTCATTGAATTATTTACTTTAACGATACACATAATAATAATAATAATAATAATAATAATAATAATAATAATAATAATAATAATAATAATAATAATAATAATAATAATAATATAAAATAAAAGAGAGAGAGAGAAAGAAATAACAAAATGAACCAAAAAACAATCTATAAAAAAAGAAAGGGGTAATTTTATTACTTTAAAAAGAAAAATGAAAAATGTTTAAAAAAAAAAAAAATATTTGATTCAATAATAAAAGTTAAGGGAAATGCCAGTAAACAAAAATCATCCCCCTAACCCTCATAAAACTTTGACAAAAATGTTTCTTTTATTTTTCAATTGGTGTTCACTATCTGAACTGTAGAAAAGTGACTTTTACGGAACGATATCGAATGAAATCGACTCTATGGGGGGTTAAGGGTTGGAATGGGGAATTGAGGGGTTTTTGTTGTTCATTTTACACCCGATTTATCGCAACTTCAATAACACATAACAGTGACACGTCGATCACTAAAGAAATAGAGAAACGATGAACTGTACGATTCCATTATATTCCATTCCATTCCATTCCATTTTATTCCATTTCGTTCCTTTCCGTTCCATTCTATTCCATTTTCTGTTTGATTAAGATCTATCTGGGTATCTTACATTGAAATATTAACGTTTTCTCGTTAGGAAGGAAGAGAGTGCTTTCAAACAGAGATATAGACAGTGAGATCTTTAATTAAGATTATATATATATATATATATACCAAACGTATAAACTCTGAAAAGAGAGGTTAGGTTTGTAAAGGATGATGGTGATTTAGACAGAGGGAACGATGAAATTCTGTGTTTGCTATATGGAGGGTAGAGGGGTAAGGAGTAACATCTCTGTATGATGAAAAGTGTCCGTCGAAATGCATTCAATTAGGGTGGCGCCACAGTATGTAGAGAGTAAATTTTAAAGGACCTTACTACTTTTAGTAAAGTTACTTCGAAAGTAGGTAGATTTTTTCCGAAAAGTAGTGAGTTTCCGTTTATTTACTTTTCCGATCACTCTTATTCTAAAGAAGTTTACACTTCAAAAACTATAAGTATTGTAAACTTAAACTAACCAAAGCCGTTAATACATACTAAAGATAAAGATGGCTGCGCGATGCAACGGAAACTGTCCCCCCACATTTTCAGCCTTGCAATCTACATGGCGCGTCCCTCCTATAGGGTCTCTAGTTGAAATTTTCAATAATTAACTACTTTAGTCGGCAATAATATTAAATGTTTTAACTCGGCATACTTTAATTCGTTTACAATTGCTACACTCATACCATACCTTCTGTCTACACCAGCGCCATTCTGGAAGGTTTTTGAACTATTATTTATAGAAAACGTTGGACACTTTTTTTCACATTTTTTCCCCATAAGAGATGTTACTCTTTACCTCTATCAACCATAGACAGAGGGAACGATGAAATTCTATGTTTGCCATCAAATCTTTCCGATCGGTGTCAGGGTTTTCATTTTTTTGTTCAACGTGAATGCTTATTTTCCGTGCATATGAAACAAAAACAAAAAAACAAAAAAGAAAATGAAGAAAATGAAGAAAATGAAACGATGGAAAAAAAAAGAAGAGAGGGACAGAAAAAAAAAAAAAGAAAAATGTCGAGAACGATGCCAAGAAGAGAACTGGCGATAGGAAGAGAGAAAAGTAGCTTTATCTTTTTCTTTTCACTTTTTTTTCTATTTCTTTCTCTCTTTCTCTTTCTTTTTCTTTCTTTTAGCTTATCGTCGATGAGGAAACATTAACGAGGCACGTTCGAGGGAACAAAGCAGCACCCACCCATCCTTGATGGTTTCGACGATACCATCTAGTTTCCTTTCTTTCATTCATTCATTCATTCATTCATTCATTTCTTCCTTCCTTCCTTCATTCTTTTTGATTTTTTTTTTTTAATTTGCTAATATGTAGTACTATGATTTGTTTAATGGATGATACGATAACGACGACATTTTTATAGTCATTTTTTTTTAGGAATATTTACTTCTTAGATAATATATTTAAGTGTGTATGTGTGTTATTTCTTTTTAAAGTACTATACACCTAAAGAAATAAATATATATGTTGAAATAAATCATCCACTATTTCCTGTTAATCCTATTTTCCAATTTTTAATGACACCTATTTTTTTCTAACACATATCATATTTTAAAAGTTAATAAAAAATCCAAGTTTCATTGGGTCAAATTGATTTAATGTAAATTGTTTACTCTAACGAAATATTATAATGAAAAATCTTATAATATAATTGCATAATTATTTGGTTTAAGTATTATCAATATTTTTTTAAGGAATACGTTTTCAATAACATTTTCAATTTATCAAATTGTATTCCTTTATATATTGAAAATATTCATAGTTCTGTTAGATTATTTATAAAATGAAATAATAATAATAATAATAATAATAAAAATCAAAATGATAAACCTGGTAGAGGATTTACTCGAAATTTATACACGTGTCCATGGATATACTGTCGAAATGGGGATGTATAAAAAGAGAAAAAAAAAAGAACCGTACTTTTTCACATAGAAAGATAAAAAGTGAGAGAAAGAGAAAGAGAAAGAGAAAGAGAGTGGAACAAAAAAAAGAAAAAACAAAAAAAAAAAAAAAGAAACGGAGTAATTTGTTGTATTTCCTTAATTCTCTAGCGAACGTTTCAGATACTACTACGCGAATGCTGCCAGCGCTTCTTCTCATTCACGGTGATTCCTATTCGTGGGGTGCCGGAAATTCGTTCGATGGGACCTCTCTAGCAGCTCACGGACGTCTG